CACCCGCCGCCGCCGTGCCCTCCACTGCGGCCGCAGCAAAACGGCAAAACGCAGCTGCGCCACCGGCCACCCGCCACCCGCACGAGGCCGAAGGCGGGGAAGGCCGAAGGCTCTACGCGCAGCCAGAGACGACATTTCGCGCCGCCCGGCGGCAGGGCACACGAAGCACGCACTCGGGGCGCAGCAAAGAAACAAGCAATACGTCCACAGAAATAAAAAAGAGAAACACACTCCGTTCCTGCAAAAGATAAAATGAGAAAACACAGTTAGTACACGCCTCAATCGCACAGCGGGTATATCGTATCTCCCGAGGCCCGTCGTATACGGGCGGGGGGCGACGTGTTGTGGCCGAAGCGGGCCATGAGCGCAGCGTAGTCGTCCCCCTGTACATGGTGGACACACATGGAGGTCGGCACCACCAGCGAGTGCCCCGTATCGTTGCGGACGTCATGGAAATGACAGGGCAGCACCTTCACGAGAATCAGGGAAGGGATCTTCACCTCCTGTAGCAGGATCCGGCCCACCATGATGTCATCACTCATACGAATTTTTGTGAACTCCTCTTCCTGCCCTGTCGCGTTCGGTAAAAGCGCAAAGCGCCGCAGCGGCCCGTAGGATACCAGCGCCTCAGCCACATCTCTCGACAAAGTGTAGCAAAGGCCCACCATGAAGGTCACACCTAATGAGCGGTTGTGCACGTGAATTCCCGTTCCGGCATGGGCCCCCATGTAGATGCCTCGGCGCGGCAGAAGGCGCAGGAAGGCCAGGAAGAGCGGCACACGGAGGAAAATGTCGTCATCGCCCTTCGCAAGGTAGCTGGCGGTGGGGAACGTGCGGAGGGCAAAGTGAAACCACATGTACGTCTTGCGGCCCATATTCATTCCGACCTCAATGCCCCATAAACCGTTTGTTTTTCCAGGTTTCCGCGCCTCATTCATCGGCAGCGCGACCACGTCGTTCCACAGCGCCGCCTCCTCCTGCAGCGCGGCGGAGTAGCTGTAGCCGTGTGCCGGATGCCGGCCAAAAAAGTACAGCACAAGCATTTCACCGGTGAAGTCATTTGCCCGCGTTGCCACACCGGGGAAGCGCCAGCACGTCGACCGCTGCAGGTTGCGTCGCCGCCGCCTCGCCTCGTCATCCGTGGAAAGAATGCCCAGCACGAGCAGGTACTGCCGCCGGCTCCACGTGTCTACAACACTCCGTGGGATGAGGGCAAGCGCCGCGTCGTCCGCTGCGACGGCTCGCGAGTGGAGGTAACTGTCGCCTCCTGCTGCGTCGCCATCGGCGGCAGTGTCAAGCCTGAGGGACAGCAGGGTCGTGGCCAAAATGAAGAGAAGCAGCAGCAGAGCAACAAACCTCAGCTTCCGCCTCGCTGTCAGCAACTTCGGCTTTGGCATGGCCACTGCTGGTGTGGGGGGGGGGGCGAAGCAGGAGAAAGGGCGCAGTGCGTGTGGGGGCAACAGGCGAGAGACACAAGCAGCACAGCGGAGACGGGCGGAGGC